ATTTGTTGCTGTATCATTTTTTAAAAGTAACACTGTTTAACATATCAGACTCTGGAAAATACTGCAATGCTGACTATGCAGGCTTCCTCATTAGCACTGACACTGGCAGAATAAATAAAAGCACATATGCCACCTCAAATTTCTATGGTTGTCATGATTTGAGGCCCATACTGCTTATAAAAGCCTATTTTGCTAAATGAAGTCACCTATGAATTCCATCAAAGACAGACTTCATGCAGGAAAGGTTATCTCTAGCTGGCAGGCTTTGTTCAGCATTCAGAAATTCCCTAATTCTGCGCGTGATATTCGGTACTTCAGCATCCCCATGAGTTTGAACACCCTGCAGCTTGCATTGAACTTTCCCAAAGGACTGTATTCAACATCTTCAACTACTAAAAATTATGTGAGGCCCCAACCCTCTTTTCAAGAGTAGTTTCATAAGCTATAACAACAGGGGACAGGTAATATCATCCACTATGACAACAGGCACTTGCCTCCCACAAATAATCATAATCCTGGAGAGGAAAAAAGATTAATCCAGTACATGAGTAAAACCCCTTAACTCTTCAACAGCCAAGTGGTATACATGCTGTTAATATTATTCACAGTTACATCTACATACTGTTCTCTGCCCTATAGACAAAGACTCGTTCAAGGAATACCCTTTGCTCTTGATCCCCCCAGCACGGGGATTCCCAGTCTGAAAGTCAGCAGTTACTTCAAAAATAGGTCTGATGTCAATTACCTAGAGGTATACGACTCATTCAATAGCATTTATTATATATATTCATCATGTTTATACTGGGAATAGGCTAGCACCAAGTGATCAACCAAGCAACTGAACTGTTTTGCGATAGCCAGTCTCTAGGCAGTGTGATGTAGCCACAGCTTCCTCCTGCCAGACATGGGTACCAAAAAACATGGTCATGCTCATGGCAGTTCTCCTTTGTGGCACCTTTAAGCAGGAAGTCTGTGCAGCTACCTCAAGTCAGCACAGCTGGATCTCATCCCATTCTTCTGTCCTAGCTCTTCTGCCCCAGAAACAACACTACTCACTGATGTCAGGCCACAAGCATTTTCTTTTCTCCATTCAATAAAACTTTTATTTAGCATCCCTATTGTGTTCTACATATTAAGGGTACAGTCATGAAAAGCTCATCCAATAGATCAGTTCTGTTCCACTTATCTATAAGTATGTTACAGACTGAGAAAGTCATACTTGACAGCATCCTTCAGCAATTTCCAATCTACTGAACTTCATGATATTGTAGACAAGCAATATCACCCATTTCTGGAGTTAAATAAGAACAGATGCATTGTTCTATAGAATACCACAGACTGAATCATCAAAGGCCTCTGATTTCAGGGGCATTAGGGAGGCTGGGATGTGCCCTTTGCAGATCAGCCAACTCTAAGTTCCAAAAAACAGGAAAGCACAAATTGGCATACATTACAAAAAAATAAATGAAGACAGAGGAAGGCCAACCCACAAAATAAACAGATAACTACCAACTCTAGACATACCATGCAGATAGGATTGTGGCAAAAAGCTGACAATACTCCTGAGGCATATTAGCTCTTTGGGCTAATTATCTGTATCATGGAAAAAAAAAAAAAAAAAAGAAGTTCTAATATTTGATCAGCTGCACCTTTTCCAGACAGTAAGCTCTTGTCCAACAACCCTGGCTACTTGCTTGACTTGACATCAGTTCCTCTCTACAACTTCCAAAATTTTAATTCATTCCCTATAAAATAGCATTTTTTTACAAGTTCAAACGTTTCCATTATTACAAAAGAAATGACAGAAATATGACATTTTTGTGAACACTGCTGCTCTAACGTTCAGTGGCAAATAGTCAAGATAGTGGAGTCACATTCTCTTTAAATGCATGTACTCCCGCCCCAGCCAAGGTTTTACCTTATAGTGAGTTTCCTTACTACCTTGCTATTTCTTCTTAGGAATAACAAGACAAGTCAATCATCTTCACTGAAAAGTCTGTACCATCATTTATCCCTTCTAGACTATTTCTCAGAAATGTTCTGATTCACAACCACACTTCACAATCACATCCTGAAGTCAGGAATGAGTAGGAATGAGTGACAGAATTGAGCAGCATTAACTTCACAGGTAATAATCCTTAAATAAGTCACCTTTTTATTTTGCTTAAATACCAACCATCTGCTTTTACTTCAGTCACTATAACGTCACGAGAAATTTTCCAAGGTGCATCAGAAAGAGAAGGTTTGCCTAAAGACTCTAGTGTCACGCTAAGGACCAGCCAGCCCCGACAGAGAAGACTTTGCAAGGGGAAGCATCAGCGCAGCCTGGGCTCTCCTGCACCTCCTCAAAGCCAGCTGGTGCACCTCTGCACACTACCAGCGGGTGCTTTGTTGTATTGGTACTGGAAAGAGTATCACACTTCTAGCACATACCCTGAAGTTATTGCAACTTTTGGACAGCAGGTGAGAGTGATTTCAGGGAAGCAAGAGCAGAGGTTTGTCTGCCTTGTCTCTAAGTCTATTGGTTTGTCTGCCTTGTCTCTAAGTCTATTGGTTTGTCTGCCTTGTCTCTAAGTCTATTCCATCCTCTCACTGGTCTCCGCGTGTTGGGAGCCTGGTTTCTGCTCTTCATGGGAACTTGGTTCCCATGGGAAACTGCAATGCAAGGACATACTGGAACTGTTTCTCTGAAACCCTTGCAAGAGGGATATCCATCCTTCAGTACAACCCTGTCACTCAGTCCCTGTGCTCCTGGGACCCACAAAGCCCCCTGTGGCTTTTCTTGTCATGTTCTCCCATCTTCTCCTTCCCCACAGTCACCCCTGCTCCTCCAATACACAGCAGGATTGGGATGCTAACAGATAAAGGAGAATTACATGCTGTAGCTCCCCCTGCCTCCTTGCCTGAACATCCATCAGTGCTCCTCACTTCATCACGTTACTTGTCCCTAAGCGTTTTGGTGCTGCTGAATACCATGGCCAGCCTGGAGTGTTGCTGTTCTGCCCCACAGAAGTGCAGGGAGCGGCGCTGACAAACCCATGGGCTCCTGTGTCTGGTGATTAAGAACACCAACTGAAGTCATGCAGGTGATTTGGACACCGGCCCTGCTCCGGCCCACCACGAAGTTGGCTTGGTTGGGCAGTGTGGGTAGGGTGAGCTGGCCTGAGCTGCCACCTCCCCGGAGGCAGCCGGGAGCTGAGCTCGGCGCGGAGCGGGGTGGCCGGCAGCTCCCTCCTCTTCCCTCCTCCCTCGGCACTCCAATTTCCCTCTGGTCTCTGGCTGGGGCAGGGTTTGCCTGGCTCCGCTCCACGCCGCCGGAGAACAGCATGCACCTTGTCTAGTCTGCCTCCAAGGATCTCCCCCAGAGCCACCTCTGAGCTCAGGCCACGTTTCCAAGCGGCAGGGTAGCAGGGGACTCCAATTCACAATTAGCACAACAGATATTCTCACCTACCAGATCAACTTCATAACTAAAGGCACTGGCAACAAAACGGAGGCAAGCAGGTATTTTAGACGGAATACTGGCTGGTCAAATCAGCCTGCATGTATCAGCTACAAGGATTTTTTTTTTTTCTTTGGAAAGATTTCTCTCTTTCCTGCAAGAATCAATGGAAGCAGTCAAAAACCAAATAATTGAAAGGCAGAAGATTTAGTCAGAAAGATACTGGTTTATTTGCACAGTTGTACGTAACATTTAAGGTATGTATGTTTTAGCTCACTACTGTGGATACACCCTGTGCAGTGTTAACACTTTAGCAATATATAGCTCCCTGACGTTGTATTATTTTATTATATTTTAATAAAGATATAGAGCCACAACTAACTGCAGTTATTTCAGCAAAACTCTTAGCAGTTTTGGAGAACAACTGGACTACTTTTCAGCTTGAGAAGTGTAGTTATTCCATTTTCTTTTAATACAAAATGGTTTTAGTAAAGGATAACTGGAAAAAATTAGTAGCTGCTTTAATGGTAGTACCAACATGGCTTTAACTCAGAACTAAGACTCTTTGAAACACAAAGTTTTTAATAGGCTAATGGTCAATTAACTTGATATATTTACTCACAAAGAAATGTATTTAGTTACTTGTCTATCCCACAGCAACACATAAGCCATTTATTTCTAAACAAAGGCTATATTTTAAAATACATCATTTTATACCAGTTAAATATAGCCTTGAACAGTTAGTCTGTTATGTATTTATTAAAATGATGGTGGTTTTATTGAAAACACAGACAGAAGAAAAAAATGTGGGAGCCATTAAAAGAGAAGGGGGAATTTATTTCGCATACCTAATAGAAACCTCTCCTGTCGGTGTCTATTAAGCTATAAAAAGCATGAAGTTCTCTCAAGAACAAATGATTAATCAAAAGACAGAATTTTGCTGATTGCTAACTGAAAAAATCTGCAAGAAAATCATACACACAGATCACTACTACAGTCTGCTTCTATTTCTCTGAGCCTCTGAGAGGAGGGGGAAACACATAAAGCGTAACACAGCAGTCTCACACATGCCACTATAAAGTCTGTCTCCTCCCAGGACACTTATCTCTACCAGTCAGACTATTTATGCAGTGAAACTATATGTAAGTATCCCAAAATAGCTCAAGCAAACTATAGCTTCATTTTACCCTCCAGCCTCCAGAACGGCAAGCTTTATATTATAACTTTGTTCCTGAAATAAACCTATTGAAGATTTTTAGAAGGTAACTCTAAGTGCAAGGACTGAACCTGACTACTGAACGGGGTAAGAGTATGTAATGGGTTAAAACAACGTATGTAATGGGTTCTCATTAAAAAAAAAAATCCTACACACAGTATTGTACAACAAAAAGCTAAATTATTTTGGTTTTTACTATTAATTGTGAAACTCAGCAGCTAAACATCTTCAATAACCATGCAAAATCTATCAAGCCAAAATTAAACCCTGTGACTTTCTTGGGACATGTCTGTGTGTCATAATAGGAAGGGGAGCTTGAAAGAAACAAACCAAACACGTTACCACATTGCGTCGGCAGTCCTTAAGGAGCTGGTAGATCGGGATCTTGGCTTCATAATAATGCTCATTTTGAAAAATTCCTCCAGTATTTCTAGCAGTCAAATATCAGTTGTCCTTACAAAGCTCATTCTCAAAGGACTCCATTTCAAAGATTTTTTTTAAATCCTCTGATTTTTAAACCCCTTGAAATCCGTCTCCTGTAATAATCCAGGCTGTGGAGGAAGAATTCTAACACGCTGCAACTCCTTCCTTTTTCACGCTGAATTTACTCTAGCACTGTGCTGTTCGGAAATGACAGTGCTTTTCTCTTCTGTCTTGTATTGCCCTGGGAGGAACTAGTCTATTTTGAATCTATTCTCCCTGCAGGTCACATGGGAACGAAGGCAGCTGAAAAGAGTCTCTATCTCTTTCTTGCAGTTTGATAACAACAGGTTTAAAGGTCGATCACTTTTTTTTTTTAAAAAAAAAAACACAGGAACAATACTGACGTATAATAAATGAAAGGAAAAAATGAATGTAAGTTACAGTAACATTAGTGAGTTTGCAGGGAATTTCCTCTTAGAGATGTGCTAAATAAATTACTCTCCATGGAGTAAAGAAAGGAACAAAGATTTTTCATTCCAAGTTAACTAAAAGCCTTACCTAGAAATGTAATTCCTCCTCCTCCCCCCCCCCAACACTTGCCTAGATACTGTGAATAAGTACTATTGTCTAACTTCACAAAACAGAAAGTATTCCTTTTCTGAAAGACATTCAAAACACTGTAGGGAAGTTAAGTAAAAATAAAATGCCTTGTTGACTGTTAAAGTCAAACACACATACAGACAGCTATTGTTATAAATCACTGAAGGACAAAATATCTCAGTTAAAGAACTCTAACATGATGTCCTCTCTACTATTCTGCAGAAAGAGATCTTTTCTCGTTACAATAAATACATCGATAGCTTATGCATTACAAACAAACTTGTATTTATAATTTCTAGCCAACAACTTATCATAAAAGCTTTGAGAGTTAATTCTTTATAGGAAGTATAAGCGTAAGCATATTTGGCAATTTCAGCATTAGAAGAGGCAAAAAATGCAGATAACTGGATAGTGGATATACCACTTGTACATTTTGAATTTGCTCTGAACCGGTTTAGAATTGCTTTTAAACCGAAAGAGGAAAGTTATTGCTCAACAAGTGGCTACATGCATAATAGCCATTCCTTTGTACAGTCTTTACAAGTGTTGCGGTATATTACTTCTGATGGTAGTGCAGTTAGGTTAATCATGAAAGCAAGCACTAAAAATTATATTTATCAAAATGATACAGACTTGGCAAGTAGAAGGAAAACATGATAAACAGGCTATGCGTTAAAATATCAAAAAAGTCATCAAATAGGAATGTGTGTGAAGTGTGTAAACCTCTCTAGAACCTTTGCACTTTATTTTATAACAGTACAATAAAATGCATTACCAACTACATTGTGTATCAACAGGAAAGAGCCTAACCGCCCTGGAGCCTTATGCCAGTCATCTGCATAGAATGTGCTCCAAAACAGCAAAAGGAATGTTAATAATGTTTCTTGCTAAGCATTTTGTTATTCATGTTTTCTGGCACCTATCTTTCAAATACCACCTAGTGTTAATGCAGGACCTTTTGTAAGAGTCCTGTGGAATCATAAAAGTTAACCTCAAAGAGCAGAAAAAGCATCTGTTGTAAATTTAGCTCAAAGGGTCGAACAGTCATGGGACCTTTAGTAACAGTTGGGTCTGTCACTGTGCAGGTCACATGTCTATAGAAGTGGGCATAAATCAGGCACCATGTTGTGAAACTTCTTCATCCCTTAAACAGATGGAATAGGTCATGAAGAAAACCAAAAATCATATGAAATAGAGGTGCTGGGCTATTACAGAATAGCTGGCCATTTTAAAGCTTTTTTTAAGTTTATCTGATTATTTATTATTGATAAATATCAACATTATTCACTTATCAATGAAGGTACACAAAATGAAAGAAAATAAAGCTTCTGACTAAGTAGATCCACAATACCATACAGAAATGGAATATTCAAGAACCCCTTTTGTCATGCCACACCGTAGGTATCTCAGGATGGTTTGTTCTCAAAAGTGTATCAGTCAAGATGCTGCCTCTTACTTGTAGTTAATAGAACTATAGCTAGAAATATACTGCAGTATATTACTATACAATATAAATACACTGTAGTTACAGTATATACCTAATTAAGGTAGTGTTTTTCAGTGCAGTTTCAGAAAAAAAATCTGATGGAAATTAAGATTACCAATGGAGGTAATACCAACACCTATTGCTTAACTTGCTTTCCTTTTCTGATCTCCATCAACTCCTTAGAACAACACCTGTTCTCCAAGAGCCTGCCAACTTCAGACCAGGCACTATTATGACATATATATTAATTAGCAACAAGAAGACTACTGTATTGCAACCATATTCTAAGCAGTCAAATCAGAGCCTGTCCTCAGGTATCAACCTAAGAAGCGCAGGCTTCCTGCAAAAAGGAATGTATCAGTAGGAGGGAGAGCTCACAGGCCTCCAGGGAACATTAGTTTCATGTGAAATTCAAAAATTGACTTTGGTGAAGCTAAAAAAGGAGGGTTTGAGAAAACGAGACCAAAAAAAAGAGCAACAACAATCAAGCAAAAAAACCCCTTAACTTGGCATCTGGAACAGTATCTTACAGGCTGCATGCAAAGCAAAACCAAATTGCCTGTGATTTCATAGCATCATAGAATGATTCTCAGCTTCATTAGCGATAAAAGATTTTTGCATGGAATCCGGGGATTTGAAAGACAGTATGAGAAAGACAAACCTTTTCTAGAGAATCAGAAAATCATAGAAGGGTTTTGGGTTGGAAGGGACTTTAAAGATCACCTAGTTCCAACCCCCCTGCCATGGGCAGGGACACCTTCCTCTATTCCAGGTTGCTCAAAGCTGCATCCAACCTGTCCTTGAACACTTCCAGGGATGGGGCATCCACAACTTCCCTGGGCAACCTGTGCCAGTGCCAGTGCCTCACCACCCTCACAGTAAAGAATTTCTTCCTAATAGCTAATCTAAATCTACCCTCTTTCAGTTTGAACCCATTACTCCTCATCCTATCACTACACTCCCCAGTTCTCCTGTAGGCCCCCTTTAGGTACTGGAAGGCTGCTATCAGGTCTCCCCAGAGCCTCCTCTACTCCGGGCTGAACAACACCAGCTCTGTCAGCCTGTCTTCATAGCAGAGGTGCTCCAGCCCTCTGAGCATCTTTGTAGCCCTCCGATCAACTTTGTAGCCCTCCTCTGGACTCACTCGAGCAGGTCCATGTCCTTCTTAGGTTGAGGGCTCCAGAGCTGGACACAGTACTCCAGGTGGGGTCTCCCCAGAGCATAGTAGAGGGGCAGAATCACCTCCCTTCACCAGCTGGCCACACTTTTTTTGATGCAGCCCAGGATACATTTGGCCTTCTGGGCTGCAAGTGCATATTGCCAGCTCCAGTTGAGCTTCTCCTCAACCAACATCCCCAAGTCCTTCTCCTCAGGGCTGCTCTCAATCCATTCTCTGCCCAGCCAGTATTTGTGCTTGGGAAGTTTCTAGGGAAACTATTAGACCAACTTTGGCAGTAAATGACAGCTTCTAATTTGCACATAAAACCGGTTGTGCTACCGTTAATATCAATGGCAGTTTTATGTAAGATTTAAATAAAGATAATAGAATACCAGTCCACTGTGCTTATGCAAGATGACACAACATTTATTTTAGGCCCCAGGTCTTGGTATGGGGTCAAATAATATAAACTCTCAATTTTGCATAATTTGAGGAATTAAGAGAGAAAGAAATTAGGAGAAATTAAGAGAATAAAGAGAGAAATGTCCATTCCACTCTGATAGCAATGGAAAATTGGGATATCAATTAATTCATTGCTAAAATAGCCAGTAAGAAACCATCAGTAAAAGAAGTAAATGAAATTTCTCAAAGACATAAGAAATCACAATAAGATTTACAGTGAGTAAATCTTGCTAAGACTGACACATCAGAAGATGGAAATGTATCAATGCTAATTGGAAGCATTTTTTTTCCCAGAACAATAATTTATAAGAACGACTGCATTTTATGTTATCAAATCCCAAATGCCAAGATGAAAATTATGTACAGATATATATTTAAAGTACTATAAAGAATATAAATATAAGCATGTTCATTATTGTACACTGCATGTTTATAAAAATATGTGCATGGCTTTATAGAAGAACAGATACTATACATAGTGAATAAAGGCAAGCATATTTTGAGAGAAATGCAACAGGCTTGTATTTAGATACTATGTATAGTATATGTCCATCTATAGCATCTGATTTGTATGTGCAATTTTGTAACTTTAAAAAAATCGTATTTCATGTCCTTTTTGGAATCCTTTTTTAGTGTGGCAGAAATACAGGCTCCCAAACTGAGGTCTTGTTGGTATGCCACCACAGTTTAGGCAAGTGTTGATTGCATAATGAAAATAAGCAAGAAAAGACTTTATATTAATGAAAATACTACAAACGGAGCCATTCAGTACTGCTAAATACACTAGTAACAAAAGTGGCCAGAAAAGCAACAATATTTTTTTATCTGCATGTGTCTGTTGACTGAGGTTTTGTCTGTGCAGTTAAGCTGTCTAAGGAAGAAAAGATAGAGAAGCAATTAAAACACCAATAATAAAATGTGCGCAGTATTCAACCCACTTTGAGGATACTTCCATCTTAGTTACTCATCTTCAAATTAGTAACTAATTGAATTAAACCAGTGTTACATTGCAGAAAATTGAAAATTAAAATGAACTGGGAAAAGCATGGCTTAAGGAATGAGGCACAGGACTGACTGTTCTGTTCCATGCTTGGGAACATCTTTGTCTTGAGAGTAAAAAAAAATTTCTTAAACATTCTGAGTTTTGGCTTCCTTGATTGTAAAACAGGACATGCTGCTCGTGCTGCTTGAAAAGCACTTGGACATCAAAGGGCTGAAAACATGGAATAGGTGCCAGGTGATTATTGCTGTTGCTGCATAAAAGCTGAAGAAATAGATTCACAATCTTCATTTTTAAGACAAAGTGAAAATCCCCTGTAGTCTGGTAAAACTCAAGTTTAACATTGCAGTAAATTAAACCTGCAACAGCTGATACCACTTTTCTTGTTTACTGGGGTGAAAAATTCAGGAATTTCTAGCAAATATGCATTGCTTTAGGACACACAGGAACACTGGCAATGTATCAAGAGAAACAGAAACCTGGAAGCCTGACATCAAGCCTTAACAC